TGATGACAGAACTGAAGAAGCTTCTCAGATGACAAGTGAAACGTGTTCAAGAAAGTCCAGTTGCCTTTTCAAAAAGGACCTTTGGGATACGATTCTAATTATCTTAAGGTTTTTGTTCAATTGTCTTCCATTGGACCTGTATAATTCAAAACTTCCTGTGTCTGCTCCTTAATTTCCTGCCACAGACACGCTTGATCTGTTATTTATCAAATGTGGTGGAGAAAAGATTCTAAGCAGAAGAAAGATTAAATCCTCCCCTCCATACTAAAGCTCTTATAATTATTTTAGGTGAAAAGGTAAAGTCTCCCTCAAATCAAGCTAAATTCCTGGTGACGAATGAATGAATCCACGCATTCGTTATCTTGAAAACCTGGAAGTTCCTTGCTATCATCTTCAGTGTAAGGTTTTTTTTTTCCTTCCCAATTGTAGGGTTTCCTAGTGATTTCCCATTCAAATTTTAATGTATTTAGTTTTTTGATGAGTCAGTTTGAAAAACCTACCATGATACAAGTTGCTGAGAATACAGGTAGACCTTGACTTACGCCCACAGTTGAGCCAAAAATTTCTGTTGCTAAGTCAAACATTTGTTAAGTGGGTGTTGCAGCATTTTACGACCTTTCTTGCCTCAGTTGTTAAGTGAATCACTGAAGTCATTAAATTAGTAACACGGTTGTTAAGGGAATCTGGCTTCCCCATTGACTTTGCTTGTCAGAAGGTCGCAAAAGGGGATCCCATGACTCTGGGATGTTACAACGGTCATAAATGTGAACCAGCTGCCAAGCGTCCGAATTTTGATCACACGATCAAGGGGATGCTCCAAAGGTCGTACCTCTGAAAAATGGTCATCAGTCACTTTTTTCAGTGCTGTTGTAACTTTGAATGGTCACTAAATGAACTGTTATAAGTTGAGGACTAACTGTAGACATGGAGGCAATACCTCAACAAGTTATCTTTCTGGCTGGTAGTTTTTTGACAAAAGGAGTAGGGTGCTCTCTGGGGTGTCTTCTGCCACCTATGACTTGGACCCTTGTTCCCCATGGCTTCTTTGTGTTGTTGTAAGGAAGGAATGTCTGGGAGACCATACATGCCTTTAGGGGTGGGATTCTACCAGTTTGCACCTATTTGCTAGAACCGGTTATTAACATTCTAAGCAGTTCGGAGAACCAATTGTTAGAAGAAATTACTGGCCTAGTCCTGTAAGGAAGGCAGGAAGGAAACATTCTGGTGTTGCTTACAGAAACTGCCTCTCCGTTAACCTTCATTACATTCTTGGCAGGACAAGACTTCCTGTCTCAGGAACATCTCTGGAGTTTTCTTTCCCTCTTTTTCTGGTACTTTGCTTGTGTGGAGTGAGCATTCAAAGTTACAATGGCACTGAAAAAAGTGACTTATGACCATTTTTCACACTTATGACTGTTGCAGCATCCCCACAGTCATGAGAGGCCAGGCGAGGAGATGCGTGCCTCGATGTGAGGGATGTTGAGTTGGCCACGCCCAGCCAATAACATGACCACCAAGCCACGCCCCCAACTAAGCCACACCCACAAAACAGGTTGTTAAAAAAATTTGAATCCTGCATGCCTTGTGGGAGTCAGCGTTGCTGCCAGGAGTAGGCCTAAGCTGAGCAAGTATTTTTGCTTGGTCATTCTCACTTTTTGTCCTTTTCCACTCACTCTCTAGGTTTTATTTTTGCTGTTTCATATCCTGGATATCTTCCAAAAACCAAGGAGCTACTCAGGATTGGGCAGTAGAGAGCAGGGGTGGGATGCTACCAGTTCTGCCCGGCTCTATAGAACCAGTAGCTCTGAAGAACAGCAGACACCAAACCGGTTCTGTGTTTGATGCTGTTTGGCCCACCCACCCACCTGGGCTCTTACCTGTCCTTTATTTCCTGCTTTTTCAACCGCAGCTGCGATTGAAAAAGCAGGAAAAAAAGTGGCTTTTCAAATGCTGTGCACCTGCACGCAGCGCTTTTCAGCTGTTTGGGCAGCACAGCTTAAGGTTTTTTACATGCACGTGCAGCGCATGTCAGGTCCGCGTGCATGCAAGGTGCGCATGTGCACATAAAACGTAATCATCAAACCAGTAGTAACCCTGGTTGAATCCCACCCCTGGTAGAGAGTGTTTGATTTTATCAAGGTCTCAAGATTACTTTTGTTGCCAGCCATCAAGGCAGGGCCTCCATTGACTTGTCCATTGGAAAGGCTGGGGAATTCTGGGAGTTGAAATCCCCACAGCTTAAAGTTGCTGAGGTTGGGAAACAGTGCTCTGGAGGGACCGCTACATTTATGACCGCAGTTGAGCCCAGAATTTATGTTGTTGAGTCAGAAATTTGTTAAGTGAGTTTTGTTCCATTTTACGACTTTTCTTGCTACAGTTTGCTAAGTGAATCACTGCAGTTGTTAAATGAGTAACATGGTTGTTAAGTGAATCTGGCTTCCCCGTTGACTCAGAAAGTTGGAAAAGATGATCACATGAACCCAGGACACAGCAACTGTCATAAATATGAACCCTTTGTCAAGCATTCAAATGTAAATCACATGGCTGTGGGGATGCTGCAATCGTCATGTGTGAAAAACGGCCATAAATCCCTTTTTTCAGTGCTGCTGTCACTTTGGCACTGAATGAACTGTTGTAAGTCAAGGACTACCTGTAGTTTATTTGGGCAAGTCAGTAAGTAACACTGGAGCCAAAAGGCTGTGTGTTCATGACACACTGAACCACCAACTAGCTAAAGTACATATTAGCGTACCGTGTTGTGTGGAATCTATATGATCATGCTGTGATTCTGTGCTTCATTCAAGCCTTGAAAATTGGGTTAATTGGGAAAAAAAACCCCGTGGTTTAGTTAGCCAGTGCTAAACTGGTTGTGCAAAAGCAACCCCTGAATTCCAGTTAGAATGTGCTGCCTCAGAGCCTGAGGCTCATCTGCCTTGTCCTGCAGGCTTTCCTACCATGCTGAGTAACAGAGGTAGCCAGGAACTGCAGGATGCCTTTTAAACTTGCTCCAGGCCTAGTTGAATAATTCATCTCATTCTGGCACTAAATGCTTCCTACTTCATCAATATTTCATGGAATTAAACATTGAGCATTTCCCCACTTTTTCTTTTTCTTTTTTTAAAAAAAAGATGTGCTTAATTGTCTTAAATTCTTTAAATATGGGTACAAGTTTCTTGGAAGCTTGCAGTAAGTGAACTATGAAGAAATATAACTCCTCAAACTCTTTTTATAGATTGCCAAGGGCACCTCTTTAGCTATTATTATTGGAGATCCTTTATATATTATTTGGCGATTTGCTCTGATCTGTCCTAGAAAAAGAGGAGGAGGAGGAGGAGGAGGAGGAGGAGGAGGAGGAGGAGGAGGAGGAATACAAGAAGCTTACAATCTGGACATGGTTTGCAATTTACATTGTTTTAGTTTATTCACAATAAATTGGATTTGCACTTCACACTAAATCATTGTTGAAAGATCACTGTGATAGAGTCACACGACATGCTGAAACCTACCCTTAGCAATTTTGGGTTCCCACAACCCTAACAGTTGTGGGAACCCAGCAATTGGCTGACTGACCCAGGGGTGTCCAACCTCGGCAACTTTAAGACCTGTGGACTTCAAATCCCATAATTCCCCAGCCAGTGATACTTTAAATCCACAAGTTTTAAAGTTGCCGAGGTTAGATCCATTGGACTGACCCAATCAACTAGGTTGAATTGGCATTGACCTGATGCTTGCTCATCAGTGAAGCTCAGCTTGGTGACAGCAGCCTTCTCAGACCTTAAAGATGTTCACAAGACATTTTTTGATTCCTTTCCTTTGGGAAGCCATGATTTGGGGTTTCAGAGGCAGATCATCTTAGTGGCTGACTTATTTTGGTCAAATAGCTTTCTTCTCAAGCTTAGGGTTCCCATCGTTCCTTTTGAAAAAAGGTAGAAACTGCAGAATCTTTAGACCTGAGAGATAGGAATTTTATGTTAATCTGGTTGTTGTATTTTTATATATTAAGATTTTAGTCTTATATTTGATGTGTTTATGATTTTATAGTGTTATTCCTATGACAATGAGCTGCAGAGTCTACAACTAGAGAGCAATATATGTTGTGAAATAAATGCTGTCTCTCCCGAGGAACAAATTTTTGGCTTTTAACTGGTTTCTTTCTAGTGAGTTTTGACCTTTTTTAATTTCCAAATGCTTTTAATTGAAACATGACTTGAATTTTTAATGGTATTCCCCCACTTATGTTGAACTGAACTGAATCAGCCTGAAACAATTCATTGCACATTGAAGCCTCTCCAGTAATCAATCGCCTGTTATGTATGAGTGTGTGTGTGTGTGCGTTAGAGAGAGTGTAATATAACTATATTTAAAAGCATATTAAGTAGAAGCAATTTGAGAAAAATATTTTTAGTGGGAATATGAATTCTGGAAAAATATGATAAAATTAAATGCTTCCCTGGATTTAAAGAGGATTAAGTGAAATTTGGGAGTATAAATCTACAAATGGCTAAACTGGTGTAAAGGAATTTCCTTATTCATAGCTTGCTTGGGCAATTCCCAGAGCATCTGATTGTCCTTTGGGAAAACCAGTTGGATTCTGAACTCTTTTTCTTGATAAAATACAACCACCAAAAATGAATAATTATTACCATGTCTTCCCAAAAATAAGACCGGGTCTTATATTAATTTTTCTTCAAAAGACGCACTGGGGCTTATTTTCTGGTTAGGTCTTATTGTGGGGAAATGTGATACTAAATGTATCTGTCTGGCTGACAATCTTAACTGGGACTTATTTTGGGGATAGGATTTATGTTACGAGAATCCTGAAAAATTATGCTAGGGCTTATTTTCCAGTTGGGTCTTATTTTGGGGAAAACATTGTATTATAGAATAATTTTACTTATTTAGGTAAAGTGAAGTAGCAAATGATTACATTTACTATAGTATTATTATCTCTTTAGAGAATTTATAAGAGCCATGGTGGCACAGTGGTAAGAATGCAATACTGCAAACTACTTTTGTTGACTACTGGTTTCCTGCAATATGGCAGTTCGAATTTCACCAGACTAGACTTCGGGATAGGCTTCTCCACTTTCAGGAATTCGAATTCAGATATGTGTCCTGTTGCACACTTCTTAGAATTCTTCTCTCTGCTTGGACATAGCTGTCTGGGAAGCTTGTCTGAAAACTCTTCTGGCGATTTTGGAAATGGATGATCACACGGACGATCATGGTGGTGCCCAGTACGAGAGGTTTTCATCGGGAGAAACGCTCAAAGAGAGCTGGTTCTAGGGGGCATTCCTCCTTTTCTTTGACCATCGTTGCCATGCAGATGGCCTGTTCATTCACCTTCTTGTCTAGAGGTCGAATGTTGGCATCTTGGTCTGGATCTAGAAGCTCATGGTGTTCTGATTCCCTAGGTTTCAGGGTGTCTGTGTGCGACAAGAACTCAGGGCCTTTTATCCAGGTCAATTCTGCTAATTGGGATGCAGGAATAGACCTTGTAAGCATGGTCTGCTGGGTTCTGGTCTGTTGGCACATACTTTTGATCCGCTCCACTCTGTTGCTCACATAGATATAGAAGCATCTGCTCTCATTGTGGATGCAGCCCAGCACCACCTTGCTTTCTGTGTAGAAGGTGGTGGGTTCTAGCTTAAGGTCTATCGTCTTCGTTATCAGATCCGTTAGTTCCACATCCAGCACAGCCCTGCAGAGTTCCAGCCTTGGCACAGTATGACCTTGTTGTGGTACTAGTATTGCCTTTCCCATGACAAAACTGACATAAATGTTGCTCTCCCCGCCGTAGACCCTGAGGTATGCCACGGCTGCTACTGCCTTTGTTGATGCATCTGAAAAAACATGCAATTTCTTCTGTGCTGTGGCAGGTAAGATAGGAACATACGTGCGCTGCAAACGAATATCTTGGAGACAACATAGAGAGTTGCACCACGTCTCCCATTTTTGCCTCTTTTCTGGCGGAAGGGGCTCATCCCGGTCTTTGGTGTTTTTGGACAGCGTGCGCAGAAGGAGTCTACCTTGGATTGTTACAGATGCTGCAAAACCTAGAGGATCCAACGGGCTGTTCACTGTCGACAGTACTCCTGTCCTTGTGAAGTCAGTTTTCTGGGTTGGGGCTCTGAAGGTGAAGACGTCTTTCTTCAAGTCCCAACATAGGCCGAGACTGCGTTGGATAAGGGGGGGTGTTGCTGCTGAAATCAAGGTCTTGTAGTCCCTTGGCATGGTCCTTGGGATTGAAGGCCATCAGCACTTCCTCGCTGTTGGATGCTATTTTGTGCAGCCTAAGGTTGGCTGTCACTAGCATCTGCTGTGTTTTCTTCAATAGGTCTATGGCCTCTGCTGGGGTGGGTACAGATTTCAGGCTGTCATCCATGTAGAAGTCGTGTTCCACGAAGTGTGTGGCATCTGTACCACATTTGTCTCCACCCTCTCGAGCTGTGTGTTATAGACCACAGTTGGCAATTGCAGGGGAAGAGCCATTTCCAAAGACATGCACTCGCATTCTGTATTTCAATATCTTTTGGTTGTATTGTTCATCACTGAACCACAGGAAACAGAGGTAGTTGCGGTGATCTTCCCTGACGAGAAAGGAATAGAACATCTGCTGGGTGCTGGCCATGACTCCTATGGCTTCTTTTCTGAAGCAGATGAGCGCCCCAAGCAGACTGTTGGTAAGATCAGGCCCTGTAAGTAGAGCCTTGTTCAGAGAGTGGCTTTGGAACTGCACGCTGGCATCAAAGACTACATGTATTTGGTCTGTTTTTTGAGGATGATACACTCCAAAGAATGGCAGGTACCAACATCCTTCATCTTTCCCCAGGGATGGGGCAAGCTCAGCGTGTCCATTCTGTACCATCTTGTCCATGAACTCCACCAAGTGAGCTTTCATTTCCGGCTTCCAGTTCATGATTCGTCTCAGAGTGAAGAGGCGAGAGAGCCCTTGTTCTTGGTTGTTTGGCAGGCGCTGCCTGGGTATGCGAAAGGGTAGTGGAGCGACCCAGTTCCCCATGGCATCCTGTTGAAACTCCTTATCCATGAGCCATAGAAATCCTTTGTCCTCTATCAACAAGGCCAAGTCATTGTCTTCTTTGCTAGTCTGGAACAGTGCCTCTCCTAAAACAGGTTTGACTGTCAAAAGAGTGAAGTGTTCCTGGCACGGTGTCAGATGGGATGCTTTTCCGTTCTTGAGAATGGATGTTGCGAAGACATTTGCCTGGGTTGGGGCCTGCAGCCGATCGACACAGACTGTTCCTGAGATTCCCCATCCCAGTTCTGTCTTGAAGGCAAATGGGGAGCCTCTCGGGCTTCTGACTACTTCAATGCAAGCTAAAGCATCGGGGGCATCTACTCCTAACAAGAGCAAAATCTTGGCTTCAGGATCTAGAGCAGGAAGGTGATGAGCCATGTGTTTCAGGTGAGGTATGTTACTTGCTACCTCTGGTGTTGCAGTCTGGCTACGATCATCTGGTAGCCCATCCCATTCTAACACGGGTGGCAGTGGGAACCGTGAACTCCCATCTAGTGACTCTATATAGAGTCCAGTAGCTTACCTCCCCACTGTGCACCGTGATACAGTGCACATTGATATCGTGAAGGGCACTTCTTCCTTTTGAACATCAAAGAGGTCAAAGAATGCAGACCTGGCCAACAAGCGATTGCTCTGAGGATCCAGTATTACGTACATCTTCACTGCTTCTTCTGGGCATCCATCGGGTATACATTGGCTAAACAGATCTGATGACATGATCGAGGGGATAGTGTGTCACCACCTACTGCCATGCAGTTGACACTCGCCACCAGCTCCCTGTGTGCTTTGGTAGCACGCTGTGGCTCCTTGGTCGAGGGAGGGTTAGGAGTTGTCTGCTGTGGTGGCTCAGTCTGGATGCAGGGCACCTGGGTGATTGTTGCTTTTGCATAGATAACACTTTAAAGTCTCTAATCTTCTGGCTGAATATAGAGACAAGCAGTTCAACACTACAAAGGCTTCCATGCAAAGTTCATTTATTGGGTTTTATTAGACATTGTCAAATGTAACCAATGGTGGTATTCAAATTTTTTTACTACTGGTTCTGTGGGGGTGGCTTGGTGGGCGTGGCAGGGGAAGGATACTGTAAAATCTCCAGTCAGGGGTGGTGTTTGCCGGATCTCTGAATTACTCAAAATTTCTGCTACCAGTTTTCCAGAACTGGTCAGAACCTGCTGAATACCACCTCTGAATATAACTCACAGTTATGTCGAGATTCATCTAACATCCAATCTTTGTCTCAATAGTCGCCTCAATAGTGTGAAAAGATGGTTATCTTCATCCCATAACGTTATACCAAGGGAAGACTCCAACATGAGCTGGGGTCCAGGTAAGAATGCCCCCAAACTCCCTTAGCCCAACCAGAGGTCAATTCAGTGACCAATCAGGATTACAGATGTGACCACATGACATGAACTACATCTCCCAAGAGGCATTAACTACATTTCCCATGAAGCATTCCCTTAAGGGGACAGCTCTCATTCCTAAAGCATCCATCCCATCTCCCATCTCTCCCCACTGGCCAGCTCGCAGAAGAGAACTACAATGATGATCCAGCCCTCAAAGAAATCCAGTTTGACACCCCTGTTCTACGCCAACAGAGTTTGATTGTAAAAATCTGGATAACCACTAGATGGTAAACAAAAGTGTTTTATGACTCTTTTTGCTGTCTCAGGTTACCCACTGCATATCCTGGCATCTGTGAACTCTTAGCATGTTTGACTGTGCCAGAGGATGTCTCTTTTAACATTGCATTAAAAAAATAGTTTGATAGAGCTAATTAGACCCTAGAAAAGAAAGAGGTGAGGTTTTTAAGGACAAAAGACAAGGTATGTGTTGTTGTTGGTTGTGGCAGAAGCCACAAGGATAGTTTGCAATGATAGAGATATAGCAAATATCATTACATAAATTCTGTGTTGGTTTCTCATTTAACTTTTTTTTAATGTTGCTTGCTATTTCTTACTCTTTTTCTGTGCTATACAAAATGTAGCTTATTCCAAAAAGTAAAATAGTTAGTTGGATGGATTTTTTACATATCTGGGCAGCTAACAACAATTTAAAGGTAATCACAAAATATTTTATTGGCAGCCATCATAAAAACTAACCAATAACAATTAACATATTGTGGATTCTATTTGACCATCTGACTCCCATGACCTGGGCTCACAGCCAGGTTTTCAAGGCCTTCCAAAAGGCTGGCAGGATCAGAGCAAATCTAAATTTGGGCAAATCATGTCGCAACTGGCAGAGGCTATGACAGTAAAGGTTGACTTCCTGGGTCCCACAAAGTGACAATGCTTAATTAATGGGAACACAAAATGACTTTCCTGATAGATCTAACGGAACAAGAAGAAGTGATTGAGAGAAGCAGTCCCTCAAATAACACAGCCCCGTACCACAAAGAGTTTTATGGGTAACCAGTAGCACTGGTAACCAATTGCACCTGGAAACATACAGATAGTCCTTGTCTTATGTCCAAAATGGGAACCCAAATTTTCATTGCTAAACAAGGCAGCTGTTAAGTGAGTTGTGCTTCTATGCAGACATTTTCTGCATAGTTGTTAAACAAATTCAGTTTCCCTCAATAACTTTTCTTGTTGGAAGATGGCTGGGAAAGTCGCAAGTGGCAATCACATGACCCTGGGATGCTGCAACCATCATAAATATATGCCAGTTGTCAAGTACCAGAATATTGATCATGTCACTGTGGAGATGTTGTGACGGTTGTAAGTGCAAGGACCAAGTCGTAAGATCGCTTTTTTCAGTGCCATAACTTTGGACAATTGCTAAAGAAATGGTTATAAGCTGAAGACTGCCTGTACTGGTATGCCCAGATGCAAAGTTGTAATGTGAATATCCCAAGGAACACTTTCAACTGTTTCTTCTCACTGTTTTTTAAATTGATTGCTGCTTCTGGATGCTCTTCAAGGGCAGCTCCATGTAGGCTGCATAGCAATAGTTCACTTGGGAGATGACTAAGGCATGAGTGGCTATAAGCAGAGCCTCTCGGTCAGGAAAAGCCACACTTGGCAAACAACACAAAATTTGCAATAGTGGTTGAATATCTGTAGTTGGGGTGTAGCATGGGGGTGAAGGTTCATTCTCCAAGCTTGTGGGTTGGTTTCTGAACATTTTGTTACCAAGCTAGGTAACATTTTCAGCGGAGTTTAGGGCGTACCTGTGTTTTTCTGTTTATAAGGGCTTCATGTGGTCAGTAG